TTGTGTCAGCAAGGACTCTCAGATGAGAAGCAAAGACTGTCTCAGCCTGATATGAAGATGATATGAAGTGAGGGTGTCCATCTCAAAAATTCTAAAAACCTGGAAAATACTGGTGACGGAATGGCATTGAGGTGCGGCAAATGTATCTAGGTGCCGTTTTCTACAGAAAACTACGACTGTTCCTACAGGGCTGTGCAATAGTGTCCTATGATGTCCTACGCATTTAGAGAATGCTCTTCCGGTGAATCATGCCGCTTCAAAGTTTCTACCAGCTTCGCGGTAGTCTTCCAATGTTTTCCTGCACCTTTTCCCATAGCCTTTCCAGGCGCTACCCCTCCCTAGATTTGAAGTGCTCCACAGAACACGCGACTCATGCTGTCAAGATGCAGCATGACATTGACATACGACATATGCAACATTGGTGCTCAAGACCGAGTGTTTGCGGACAAAACATTTCAGCACAGCCTGTACCTTGAACCGAATGCAAGTGCAGAAGGATACAGGATGATGCAACATGATGCAACAGGAAAATGTGAAGGAGTGTCGCAACGCAGCTTTATCAATGGCAGAAACATTGAAAAACAATGAACACCTTCATAAATTATTCAAAAATGCAGAAGTAAAGTCTAGGAGACTGTGATTTGATTTGGGTGGTGTCTAACTTGAAGTAGGTAGCATCTTCTTGTGATTGAAGCTTTGAACTGAATACAAGGCTTCTCTTTGGCCTTGACGTGATGCAGAGATTGTTTTCTTTGGCCTATACTGTTCCTGCAGATTACAGTATATCATACCGTAGTACATCCTTTTATCTTGTTATCTTTTGGATATCTCTTTTTATCTCTTTTTGATTTCTTTTGATTTCGGATTATTTTGGAGTATGTTGAGTTCATTGCAAGGTAATTGTGTCTCAACTGGCGATGCGGGAGACAGTGGGCCGTGTGTTGGAAGATGCCACTTGGAACAACCTCGACCTCAGGGATGCCGAGGTGGCCGCGCCTGACCTTCACAGTTGCAAAATATTAGGCAAATGAATTCCAAATGTATCTAAATATACACATCATATAATGTATATAAATATTTAGATATCATTACAATATCCATATATAATATATTATATGAATACTATCAAGGATAGCCAGTGTCAATTTACTGTCACTATTTTTTATGGGTCTTGACCGATTTGACCACAGTTCTGGCGCAGGTGGATTTGCTCCAGATCACTTTCGGCGCAAACGACTGCGAGATTCTGCGAGGTATTGTTGAAAGTCTTTTGCTCAGACAGAAGGCGGCAAACTAAGAAGCTCTGCCACGTTTCTGCCTCATACATCTTCATACAGTAATTATTGATTGTCCTTGGGTTGCGGGCGATTTTTTTCAGAGTTGGACCAGGCTCCATGCAGGCATGGAGACAGATATGCGAGGTTGGCACGTTTGGTTTAAAAGTTTACATCAGCTCGATGTCGTCTCCATATACACTTCAATGTGTTTACTGGCAATTTCATACCTGCCAGAACCATGCCTGAAACTAGCTAGGTGCCGAAGCCAGCCAAGCAACCTATTTAAAAAGATGAGTCTTGCGAGGGGCAAGGACCAAACAAAACCACACAACCAGCATGAACCAGCATGAACCAGTTGTTTCTGGCAAAATGCCACAAGGAATCGCTCGGCCTCTGCATAGTTTCTGTTGTCTCTTGATTTTTCTGCTGCGTGATGCTCGATAAATGGAGGTGACATGAGCAAATATTGAGATCGACTGTAATATACTGAATCAATTTTTTGCGCAGTCTCGTCAAAATCTGATGATGTGTGTTGATTTGTAATGCCTCCGACTTGCCCGCAAAATGACTGGAGACGTTTGCAAGTTTCGACCAGCACGCGAATACAATATGGCCGGCGGATGGCGACACAAATTGCCCAAAATCTCTTTCCTAGGGCTCTGGTTTGAATATCTCAATCAGCTTTGAAAGTCTTTTTCTAATTTGAAGAAGTCATGAGAGCTGATTGGATGGACACGTTTTACCCAATCATATCTTGTCTTGTCGTGTGTATGTGTGGGTGTGTCGCTTTGCGCAATTTTTGGGCAAAGCTCGTACTGTCCTGATTCGAATTTAAGTCTTCACATGTCTTCACATGTCCAAGGTGGTTTCCGGCCACGCTTTGTGCGTGCCATTTTTTGGCATCCAGTCCCGCCGCCCCTGGTGTACCAGCCACGTGTGGAGTCCCAAGCAGTGTAAAGGGTGAGGGAGGTAGCTGGAAAGGTATTTTCGATGATGTGAGTTTCAAATTTCAGAGTGAAGATTAGTGATGAGTACAGACTCTGTACTAGCAAGTGCTGCAAGTGTAAGTCCAAGCCTTGATTGGTCCGGTTTTACCCATCGACAAAGTACTGTATCCAGGCACTCATCGTTTGCTGGGAGATTGGTACGAGGATGCCTTCGAGGTTGGTGTTACAAGAAACGTGTCACAGCTTTTCCCCAACCTCCCAGTCATGGAGTGACACTGTGTCGCCAAGAGCCGCCAGCCGGGGTCAGCAAACTTCGAGAGCAGGCAACAGGCGAGGGCTGCTCTCTGCAAGCCATCCTCGATGCCTTGATTCTCGGTATGGACTAGTACTGTGCAACACTGAGTGCATACTGAGCGCATACAAATGCAATCAAACGCATAGAATGTACTTGATTCATCTTGATTCAATACAACAGATGATCGAAGGAAGTTTAGAAGTCAAACTTCCGACATTATGGACAGATGAAAAGCAGAGGCAGAGTGAAGAGAAAGATTAGAAGAAAGAAGAGTAGAAGAGAAAGAAGATGCAGATGCGTGAAAAGGATCCCCGTTGCCATTTCCTCCACGCCTATAAGGCACCATTCTGTGAAAAGTTGTTCCTTTAAATGGGGTCGAGCTTGCCATTTTGTAGTAATTTGTGGGTTTTACCTGGTTTTATCATGTTTATTTTGAAGGCATGATCATTTATGGGCACCAAGACAAACCATTTTGTAACAAACAAAAAGCCATTTTGTAGATGTTTTTAAGGGTATGATGTGGTGGTTTTATAAATTGAGAATTAGTCATTGACAAAGAAAAATCAGCTACCCATTCTGTAGAGAACCCATCGTTTCAATAAATGTACCATTTTGTAAGTGCATATTTGTGTTTGCAAAGGATGAGTGAAGGTGGACTAGAGGGTAAAAACCCTACAAAATGGCACTGGGAAAAAGGCAGTTGACGCTGAGGTCTTGCCAAGATAGAGGCTCTACAAAATGGCTCTGGGATTTTTATATGTTTTATAAGATCATGAATGCACTGGTTTGATCATTTCTTGACAAAATTGTCAAAATATTTGTGGATCAAAACAGGTGACAGGCACTACCATTTTGTAGAGCCATGGGTTATAGACAGACCATTTTGTAGGATGGAGACTGTGCCGGAGCCATTTTGTAGAGAAAGGGGTTGGTTCACTACAAAATGGGGCACCCCAACCCCACCCAGGGAATGGCAACATGGATCGCCAAAGCGGCGGGTGCGGAGCCAGCTGAGAGATGAAAAATTGCACGCCGTTGTGGCGCGAAGCACATTTGCAAGTCAAAATATACAAAACACCTCAGCGTCGGACCGCTTTTGGAAGTTGCGATGTCGAAATAGTGCACGCCGTTGTGGCGCAAAGCACATTTGCAAGTGAAAATGTGCAAAACACCCCATTGTGGGACCATTTTTGGAAGTTGCGATGTCGAAAAAGTGCACGCCGTTGTTGCGCGAAGCACATTTCGAAGTGAAAATGTACAAAACACACCAGCTCCGGAAGTTAAGATGTCGAAAAAGTGCACGTCGTTGTGGCGCGAAGCACATTTCCAAGTCAAAATGTTAAAAACATCCCCCTTGATCCCCGTTGCAATTTCCCTTACAATATCATGGGGGTCGGACAGTCCATAGGGTTTTTCACCTTTGATTTTGTAAGGAACCCACCTTACAAAATCATATCCTAACCCCTAAGGATGAAGGGTATAACATCATTATGGAAGATAGGTGGACATATGGCAAGATGGATGGTCTTGATTTTGTAAGGGTACCAGACCCCCTGGGGGGGGGTGCCAAAATGGTCCCATTTTTAAAAAAATTGGAGAGATTTTTGAGCCAATTCTACACAACTTTGGGGTTGGTTTTGTAAGTATCCATATGTTTCTAATTTGTTTCCATGGTAAGGTTTGATTTTATAAGGTGATTTTATGTTGTATTATATTTGAGTAATTTTGAAATATTTTGAATATATAAATGTTCCATATCCACAACATGGGTTTTGATACTCGCCGTTTTGACAAAATATACTCTAAAAACCTTATAAAATCATGGCACATTATGATTATGAAATCAAACCCTGGGGGTATAGGGGGAAAGATCATGTTACAAAATCAAGGGACCAGACCTGAATCCTTTTAAAATCAGGCCCGTTACAAAATCAAAGGGCGTTTTTGGTACCAAATTTTATGATTTTGGTATGATTTTATTTTTTTGCCTTGAATTAGGGGGCTAACTGCTCTGTAAAAATACATGTTCAGTCTTGATTTTGTAATGATAACCATGCTTGGAAAGGTCTGGTACCTTTGATTTTGTAATGATGGATACCCCTGTCCGAGGGTCAGGCCCCAGCTTTGTACTTACAGAATCAGGGGGTGCGACCTTCACACTGAATTGCAAGGGTGATTTAAAAACACTAGTGGCTCGGACCACTTTTGGAGGCTCAGATGTCGTTTCGCGTGGCAGGCGCAAGGGAATGTGCACCTTGTCAAAAGTGAGCAAAACGTGAGGGTTTTGTAGCAATTTCAACTATACACCACCACTACACCACACTACACTCCAATACACTACGCTACAACTACAACTACACCTTCACTACATTCCAATACACTACACTCCACTACACTACGCTGCACCCACTCAATTACACTACACTACACAACACTACAACTACAACTACAACTACACTCCACTACACTAAATTACACTACACTAAATTACACTACACTACATTACACTACACTCCACTACACTGCACTACACTACATTACACTACACTACACTACCTTCCTCTACACTTCACTACACTACACTCCACTGCAGTACAACTACAACTACAACTACACAACTACATTCCACTACACTCCACTACACTACATTACACTACACTACATTACACTACACTCCACTACACTACATTACATTACACTACACTACACTCCACTACACTAAATTACACTACAGTACACTCCACTACACTACATTACATTACACTCCACTACACTCCACTACACTAAATTACACACTACACTACATTACACTACACTACATTACACTACACTACGCTGCCTTCCACTACACTTCACTACATTACACTACACTACAACTACAACTACGACTACACAACTACACTCCACTACACTCCACTACACTCCACTGCACTAAATTACACTACACTACACTACATTACACTACACTGCACTACATTCCACTACACTCAACTTCACTACATTACACTACACTACATTACGCTACGCTGAATGACACTGCACCACAGATAGACAGGTAGACAGACAGACAGACAGGCAGACAGACAGATAGACAGATGGATAGATATATACATAGATAGACAGGTAGACAGCTAGGCAGATAGACAGATGAAAGAGAGAGAGATAGATAGATAGATAGATAGATAGGTAGATAGATAGATAGGTAGATAGATAGATAGATAGGTAGATAGATAGATAGATAGATAGGTAATTAGATGAAAGAGAGGGAGGGAGAGATAGATACATAGAAGATAGGTTGGTAGGTAGGTAGATAGTCAGAGAAAGAGAGAGAAAGAGAGGAGACCTCAAGCACCTTTCGGTCCATCAGTGGATTCGCTCTGCCATCCCTGATTCACAACAACCAATCTCTCCTATAGTTTCCTATTTTTGAAACTTCCGCCACCGCCTTGTGCGGTACTACTGGTATAGATATAGGCTCTAGGTATGGGAGATTGATCGGCTTATCTTACCTACAGCAGTTGATAGCAGTTCTCCGTTTTCAATTTAAATAGTTCAAGGGAAGGAGAGCGGAATCCAAAACAGAACATAATCTTTGTATAATATATATATACATACACACAGTACACCATTATACACCTATTTATATCATATATATATATTTATCATTATATGTATATTGTAAATAATAAAAGAAAAATAAATAAAGCACAGGATGCATAGGCTTCTCAGAAAGTAGACTATAGCAGACAAAGGTCAGTGGTAATAGTCGTGAATTCCGGTGGAATGCATTTGTAGCGATGTTGAGCAGCTTGCTCTGTGTGTGTGCGAACGCAGGGACGATGTTACTGTAAACCTTTTCATCCCAGTATGAACAGTCAGACTCCATGGGGTAGAAATGTACCATAAATGTACCAATCTTGGTCGGCATGAATTGCCAATTCGCGGATTAGTTTTTCGAAGTTCACCAAATCTCTCGCGAAAAACTGTCTTGGACTCGAGAATCGTCGGATGATAACCGCACTGACATGCCCAAATCATTTCTTAAGCTTCGGACAAACCATGGTTCAGTTTGCTTCTTTAGCGTTTTCTAGCTATGTTTGTTTCTTGCACATGTGCTTTGCCATTTGAGTCAGATTGACAAGGAATGATCACTACGTCCTTTGGGGCTTCGACAGTCGTGGCTTGTTTTTGAACAATTTCTCCCATCGGTCTGCCCTGCGCATGAGAGACTGAATGTCAACTTCCTTCCACAGTAGCACACGGAGCCCATTAACAACCATTACACGCATAATGCATCATTTCATAGATGACGTACATGGGCATTGAGCACAAATTATGTTGGAATATGTTGCAATTATGCTTGAGTAATCTTGAGTATTTGGAAGTTCTGCAGGTGACTGCGAGAAGGCCGGAGAGTGCACAAGGAATGCACAAGTCTTTTTTACATTATCCCGGCAAGAGACCCCAAACAGTGTGTAGTTAGGATTCTAAAGGGAAAGTAGAAAGGACCCAGAATCATCAGTGGCTGCAAGCTAGCAGGACAAGAGCGACCCTAGTAGTGAAAGCATTGTGTTCATTCAAGGTGGTCTCTGGAAGAAGAGATACCAGGTTAGATTCTGCCATTTCCCTTTGTGAAGATCTCTGTAAAAGATCGTGGGCAAGATCTCCTTGACTGGTTCTCTTTGCAAGCTGCTGTGCAAGATCCCTGTGTAAGGCTATCTTACAAGGCGCCTACAAGAAATCTCTGCAGAAGATCTTTGTAAGAGTTCTGCTGCTGCCACACGGAATCATCATCATGTCCGAAATTAAATTCGACCACAGCTTCACAAAATGCGATTTTCGACCCTTTCAAAGCGTCATCCAAGTTCACCAAACATTGCGCCTGCACGAAAAATTACCTCCAAAACCATCTCGCATGTTGACCCACCCTGCCATCGTTTTAGCAACCTCCAAAAAGTGTCATGCCGGCCACGCGCATGAAAAAGTCTCCGATGTCCTGCACCTGTTTCAGACTTCAATGTCCCGAAAGTGCCATGTCTGCCAGCCAGAATGGACATAGCTCAACAAAAGAGCACAGCGCGTTAGAAGAAACGAGGCCTTCGGGGGAGAGGTCTCTGCGACACCCGGTTTGTGCGAGCCTGTGCGGTCGAAATGCACATGGACATTTCACAAGGGAACTCTCGTGCTGTTAAGGGCCACGAAATTACCACACCTGCCGAGACCACCTCGAATGAACACCAGGCCTTAACTTGTGGCCACTGTGTTTGGGGGAACAAAAAGGTCCAGAAAGACAGTCTTGAGATGGCCTGCGGCGTTTGGGATCGATTGCACAGTCATGGTTCAGCGGTATCCTAGGTCGGACATCGAAAAGGTTGCTACGGATTTTTTGACCAGGGGTAGTTTTTCATTTGCTGCTTGTTTCCTTGAGCACCTGATGCTTCAAGATATTTCAAGATATTGTTGATGGCATTGTGCCGCAATTGCGCCCAAGTCGGGCCCTGAGTGCTAGCTTCCAGGCGAACTTTGTGCGGCGGGATTTGGTGCAGAATCGGAATAATCCGTTCAATCTCGGCGACATTGAAGATAACGCGCAAGATCTGCAAGCCTTGTGGGCTGCCAGGCCGGATGTATGGAGCAATTTTGGGGTCCGGTCAAAAATCGCTAGGAGGAAAAGAACCAATGAAGCGGGCCCCCGCCTAAGTATCAGTTTTCTGCGCCTAGGATGCGTTTGGTTATGTTTGGTTTGACATGTCCGTGACGTTGTTGATTTATTTATGTACATATGGCATATGGCCATATGGCACTGAGTTTTTCGTGTGGAGTTGGCACGGTAAGATGCTTCTCTAGGATCTCATTTGCCCGCCCTCTTCATATCTATCTATTCATCCTACTCGTCAAAACTCTAATTACGTATCATCGTCGCTTTTCATCATCACTCCTAATGTTGGATGTTGATTAGTGTAGGGGGCCCCCTAAACAATTCTGAGACTCTCTGAAATGTGTTTTTTTAAGGGCCGGATACTGAATAAAATTGGATCAGTTGAATTCAATTGATTTCAATTGGTTTCAAATCACTTTCAATTGATTTCAATTGGTTTCAATTTACTTTCAATTGGTTTCAATTTACTTTCAATTGATTTCAATTGATTCCAATTGGTTTCATTTTACTTTCGATTGATTCAAATTACTTTCAATTGACTTCAATTGATTTTCAAGTGTTTTCAATTGATATTCAATTCATTTCAATTGATTTTCACTTGACTGCAACTGATCTCAATTTACTTTCAATTTATGTTCAATTGATCTTCAATTGATTTTCCACTGATTTCAATTTAGTGAGAATTTATGTTCATTTGATTGATTTATCATAGACATCCCACAGGAATCCCATAGAAAGATCATAGGAATCCAATAGAAATATCATAGAAACACAGAAATCCCACAGAACAACCATAGAAAAATCATAGAAATACCATAGAGATCCCATAGAAATCTGATTGGAGTCCAATGGAAATCCCATGGACGCCCCTTTGAAATCCCAGAGAAATTCCAAAGAACCACCATGGAATCCCATAGAAACCACACAGGAACCCAATAGAATCCCACAGCAATCCCATAGAAATATCATAGAAATCAAAAAGAAATATCATAGAAATCTTATAAGAAATCCCATAGAAACATCACGGAAAACCCCATAGAAATCCATAAAACAACCGTAGAAATCCCATAGAAACCCCATAGGAATCCAATGGAAATCCCATATACATCCTGTTGAAACTCCATAAGAATCCCATAGAAATACCATCGGCACCCCTTTAGAAATCCCATAGAAATATCATAGAAACACCATGGAAATCCAACAGGAATCCAATAGAAACCCCATAGAAATATCATAGAACCACTTTAGAGGTGCCAAGAAACCCCATGGAAATCCCATAGAATTCCCAAAGAAATATTCTAGAAATATCATAGAAATTCCATAGAAATCCTTTTTAAATCCCATAGCCCATAGTAATCTCATAGAATTATCATAGGCATAGAATTATCATAGGAATCCAAGAGAAATATCATACAAATATCAAACATCATGGAAATCCCATAGGAATACCATAGAAATACCACAGAGCCCCCTTAGGAATCCAAAGGTAACCTGCCGGACCCGAACCCTATGCCAAATTCAGCGCCAAATAAAACATGATAGAAAATCAAAATCAATGGACGCCAGATAAAATGACAGAAAAAAAACAAAATAGAATGTCGCAAATATTTGCCAGGTAGAATGCCAAATGGAATACCAGTTACCAGGTCAGATACCACATCAGATGCCAGATAGAATCAGATAAAAACGTCAAATGCTATGCCACATAGAACGCCAAATAGAATGCGAGACGGTATGTCAGGATGATTGTCGCAGTGGGCATCAGACGAAATAACACATGTTTTTGTAGGCTCGGATAGCTTGTGAGCCTTTGTTACCTTAACTGCAACAGCCCGCAAGCATTGACAACCTCATGGACCTCATGGACCTAGGTGCTCTTGGGTGATTTTCATGATGTTTTCAACAAAAACCTCCCGTCACGTTTCCGTACGACCAGGTTCAACAACACTGCTTGCTTCTTGAACAATCACGTCTTTGACACTCTGATGGTCGACCCACGACTGATGCAGGAACTCCCCGCGAACTTGCCAACGCAGTCTGGGTTTGGAAAACAAACGAACAAATTTTGAAAAATGGATTCATTTTTTGCATGTCGTGATTCAGTTCGCATTGCCCTGTAGTTTTCTTCACGTTTCAAATGGTTGTCAATGTCATGTGCAATTGTGCAGCTGTGCCTTCTCACCAACTCTGTATGGTTTAAAATGGATCAGCAAGTGGTACATGCCTGCGAAGGTGACATGTTGTATTGTTGCCTGTGGCAGAATGTGGGAAATGTTTAAGACTGCTTAATTTTGATACACGCGACTCAAAAACCAGGAAACGGAACCTGAGCACCCATTTTGACTTGGTTACACTCGCAGCATGTGCTCAGCATTGTGCAGGATTCTGAAGCTGCGCTGACGGAGCACCTTGGACGCGGAAGGGACGTACTGAGATGTTGCAGAAAGAGACAACAAGACGAGAGTAACGTGATGAAGTGTATTGCTTGGTACTTCCAAAGTTTACTTTACATTCTTTAAGACTGACTTTGATTTGGGTTGCTACATGTTGCTCCTGTATCCATTGCTTTGGTCATGGTTTGGCCAAGGAAACTTTTCTTGTGGGAACTTCACCTGAAGACTGTGCAAAGGGCCGATCGAATGTGGATCAAAAGAGCTGTGCCATGTTTTTTTACGTTTGCCATGTGCTTTAGTGATCTCCAGCCAATGCTTCACGGATACACATGAAGGTTTGATAGAATTGTGCGTTTGTGTGTTTTCAATTGTTTTCATGTCTTGGACAAAACTCAGCTCTTCACATGGCAATCGCGCTCTTGCAAGTGGCAGGATTTTGGAAGTGAAGATCGACGAGCCTCCATTGAAGCTTTCGACAGATATGTCCTGCACCCCAAACAACTGCAGACTGATGCAGCATATGCAGCACAACAAAGGGGCCAAAACAGAAGATGACAGAGGCAAGATGCGCGGCTGAAGTCTTGCAGTAATTATATGAGCTAGGAGTTTGACTTATCAAATATTCTAGCAATTTCTTGCCCATATTCCAGGGCCGAACATATTCCATGCCAAAATAGCTGGGAAATTTCAGGGAATTGCCTCGAAGACCCCTCTCAGGTGAAATTTGTATTTCATACAGTTTGCCAAGTACTCCTTTTCTTCTGGCACGTACGTTGTCGACTGCACATGTTCTTCCCCAAAGAAGATCCTTACTTTCAACAGTTTTTGGAAATGTCATAATTAATAATGTTGAGCGTTCCAAGAATGGATTAATAATGTTCTTATGGGAATTTGTCATCTACACTTTTCAGGATCTCAAAACCCAATTCATAAGCTTTATGTTCTGGCACGCTTGGCTGGCCTTTCACCAGCAGCGCCATCCCCATCTTTCTTGACATCTTTGTGGCCCCGCAAAGAGCTCTGCACAACAGGATCTGGGAACAAATCATCGACGATCCTGTTTTCTTCCGTGCAAAATAATTCCACCAATAGAGTACGATGCCACCCCTGGAGTGCGCTAATTTTCTGGAATGCGAAAATGAAACCGTATGCGTGGCCTCCTTCGACCTTACCCATGAATCCAACACCAGTTTTTTCCATCATATACCAGAAAATTATCACAATTCACCCTGCTGAGCTTTTTTTTTCTTTTCTTTTTTTTGGCCAAAATGGCCTGGAATGCGATAGTATGTGAAACTACAGACGTCTCACGCGAAGACTCCATCTTCCCCATAGTCCAGAAAACGTGATTCCAGGCGATTTTAGCCAAAAAAAAACGGAAAAAAAGAGAAAATCACCGTACGAAGATTTTATTGAGTGCGAAGATCTTGCAGAGTGCGTGGATTTTACATGATTTTACAGTATGTGTACGTCCCTAGCTGTGGAGTGCGATGCCCTCGCTGGAGCGCGAAGAATTTGTGGAATGCGAAGAATTCCGAGTATGCGTGGCTGGTATAGAGACCACATAGGGAAATTTCGGGGCCAGAACCAAAATTCCAATCCCAAAGCCAGCCCAAACTTCCAGGGGCACACCAGTGGGTTCTATTTTTGCGAGTTCACCTTGGGTGAGGTCCCGGGGAAGAAACTTGCTAATTTTTACTCAGCCAACCTTTAAAAACGTTATTTTTGACAACCCTGTCCTTCTTCGGTAGACACTTGAGGAAACTTCCTTATCAAAGCAGCCTTCAATTCATTCAACGTCCACAGCTGCTTTGGAACGACATAGGGGATAGAAAGCTGTGGAGGGGCATTCAGTGGATTCGCCGTGGCCCAACTGTTCCCTCCAGATTGAGCTGAAATGCCTATCAAAGTTTATCAAAGTAACATACCAAACCCAGGTCTGGAGTACGATGAAAACATGGTATGTGAAGATTTTCTGAATATGGGAACGTTGCCTCTAGAAATATGGACAAGTGCAAAATTATTTGTTCGTCCGTCCAATGTACGTCCAGTAGCGGCTCTTTATCAAAGACTATGTTTTTTTGAAAGATTTGTTCTGCGCGCGATTCTTGGTTACATAGAGATATAGACTAGAGTAGAAAAACAGTAGATGGCAAGATGATTGTCCACCAAACAATGTACTGTATAAATGTGTGTCTACATTGCATGTGCTTCTACATGTACGGTATTCACCATGGTTTATGCATCTGCATAATTGCCGATACAAGCCAGTTACATGTCTAAGATGGTGGAAGTGAAAGGCTCGCATTTTTTAGACATGTTCTCCTCGGCGTTTGGTTTTAAACATGTTTGAACAGTTTGAACTTGTATTATTATTTTTTATTCCAGAATTTCCAAATTCTTCCCGAGGCTGAGCGGGACAGTTTGGGCAGGATCTGCGTGGTTGCCTTAACACACAGAACTCCAATTGGGATTTGAACATTGGCCATGGCGACGTCCATGGATGTTTTCGAATGACATGGCAGACTGAAGGATCTGAAGGCGTCCACTGGTCACAACATGTCACAATGATTTTTAGCTGTGTATCCATGGTTGTCCATACCTGTTTCGGCCCTGTGCAAGCCTGGATTAGTCACGAAATTTGTTGCCATTTGGGAAGGTTTTTGAGATGCTGAAATGAAGAGCTCAGGCGCGTTATTCAGACCCATGAGATTCCATTCTCCAAGGAGCAGGGGCCCTGCGACACAACGGACGGACAAAGACCGGGGAAGCAGACAGCAGCAGCAGCAGCAGGAGCAGCAGCAGCAGCAGCAGCGGCAACGTCAATCGGCAGAACGAGAACATGAAGAGCGCAGAGAGAAGGTTAGGGATTCGGGATGACATGCCCTGCGACAAGCATGCGAAGGCAGCAATAGAGAAGTTTTATGAAGTTTTCAGGGGAAGATCGGTTTTCAAAACACTAGTGCTATCCATTGCTGTTGCAGTTTTTCAGTCAAGTCACTTTACCTCCTGGCAGCACCCAGGCACACGAAATGGTTTCTGGTTGCAAGACTTTTCTTTGTGTGGTGTAATCTAATTTGTTTGTAGGGTGTTGTTGGGTGTGTCAGGAGCACAAATTTTCTGCGGGATGGTTATCCATCATGTATTTTTATACTTCTGCATTCACAACAGTTCTGAACGACATGATGATGCGGGCCCGCTGCATTTGGTGTGTTCGGTTTATATAAGATTCGAGTAAGTTGTTGAATACAAAGTTTGGAAGACAAGGGAGGAATGCGCAATGGTAACTTGACACCTCTTGAGTCTTTATCCTGCCATGCCACACTGCCGCTACATTCGCACAATCATGAATGCTTTAGACTTTTCTCAGAAGTCTGGAACAGATGTTGGAATAGAAAAGCGTTGAGGCTAAAAGGCGCCCTTGCAGAGAATGTCTACGAAGCCTTCGACAAAGGCAGGGGGTCCGGGGTCAGGGCTGCGTCAAACGAAGTTTCGAGGAGAAGCTCCGAGTTAATGCTGATAATTTGCCATGTGTCCACTTCACATCACCACCCACACCTTCGCAGGTTCACATCACTACCCAGATCTTCACCACTTCGCATGATCACCACATCGCATCATCACCAGTTCGCATCATCACCACTTCACAACATCAGCACATCATATCATCACCACTGTCGTGTTTTGCAAGTGCAGATGAACTCTTTGCAGTGGAACTACTGCGTCACGGCGACTTTTGCTTGCAAGCCTGCCGAAAATCTTTGGTCTTTTTTGCCACTGGGAAAGGTGACGAACACGGTGTTTTGTTACGTTTTCCTAGGGTACTCGTGCACTGGTGGGGGGGAGGAGTACTGTGGGCTGGATTATGCTGGATTGCAACGGGTGCGCATTCAGAAATTCGAAATCCGCGGGCAGTGTAAGTGAGGTGTCAAGGTGACTACCGTCAGATCTTGCAACTCTCGAGCTATTGCGTTTACTGTGTCTACCGCTTCGCGCGTTGGAACTACTGCCAACTACTGCACTGCATCTACTGCGTCAAGGTGACTTTTGCTTGTGTGCGTGTGTGCGTGCGCCCTGTGGGTTTTAGGGGTTTCCCTCTCTTTGAGACTGTGTGAAATGCTGCATCAAGATGCGATTCGGGATTCGTGCACATGGTTGAACCAAATGTCCAATGACTCCTCAAGGGTGTTCTTCACCGAGCCACGGGGCGCTATGTGTCTTGGCTCTAAAGCACTCAACTCTCATGGGCAAACTTCCCTGCCTTCCTGTCGGAAGTTTCCCATCCGCGTGTCATGTGCTGGAGTTACAGTATTATACTTGTATTCAGATAGGTTGAAGACGTGCATCACAGCTGTAGTGAAATTTATGCAACGGCATGCTTGATTCAAGTCGCCAGTTGTGTTACCTGTGATGTTCGCCCCGCTTCCTGGGTAAGAAAGTCTTTTGCGGTTCGTGAAGGGGGACACCAGGGGGACGTTCAAGAAATGGTACATGCTTGGAACTCGACATGTTAGTACTCCTGGTGATGTCTTGCATGTTTGAAATGTGTGTACATGTTTTTTTTAATGCTTCAGTGCTTGAAGACTCTGTGATACTAGGCGTGTGTCTCTCACGAAGGTTGGCCTGCTATTCCAGTAGAGCAGCCATGCTGCATCAGTCTGCATCATGCTTTTTGCAGGGAAAGGAAGTCGTGACAGCCTCGATCTTCTTGAAGGCGCAGTTTTTTGCACGGCGGAGCTGGCTGGAGATGTGATCTGCATCCTGAATTAACACACTCAGCAAGACACCAGCTGCAATATGTTGATGAAAATATTAGAATCAGGGAATCAGGGAATGCAAATAAAACAAAACCGTACGTACAATCGTGGATTTTACCCGACAGATCCTACAATGCCCTCAACTCAAAGCTTCAAGTACATCCCTTGCCTGACGGGGGGGCGCAACCACATATTCGAAGAAGTTGTTTAGCCGGTTCAGAAAGTTCCAAATGGTTCCAAGATGTTCCAAGCAAAGTGGCCACGTCACAGCGAAATCTTACAGCACAGAAACTATCCAAATGCTATGGAGGTGGGCACAAGTGATCCTCCTAAGGACTCCTAAGCCTCACATGTTATGGTTCCCAGGTGTTCCCAGGCAAGTTGTTTGATCGCTGTCTTGCAATTCCAAATCCCTGCCACCTTGATTCACTCTTCACTGCAGGAAATGGCACATAATTTCATTTAATTTCAAACATATAAGCGCAGAATACCTTGAATGATTGTGACCCGTGGCTTCTTGCAGCTGGTTTTGCGCTGTTGCATTTGAGGCAACCAGACCATGGGCAGGTATTTGTTTGAGAAGCGTGGGGGTCCTCAGTCATTTGGGCAGTTGGGTGCTGTAGCTGCCAAACACCAAATGATGGTGTTCTGTCCTGAGTGTGAACTTTCTGCGAACTTTGTGGTCATGAAAGAGTCAAGTAGGAACGCAATCTGTTTGGGTTCAGCTTGGCAAGCACAATAAATCACAGTAATGCCGAAGGCCGAAGGTAATCCAAGTGATCAAACCAGCAAGCCCAGTCACATGTTTTGAGATTGTTCTGATTTTTCAGCTTTGTAACACGGAGGGATTGCAAGAAGAGAGATGCATGTAATTGCGGAACACAATCCGAAACACCAGATTTTGCAGAGGTATCTGGAAATTTACCAGCGTTATCCAGCGTTGATATCCACAAAGCCCTTGACATGAGCTCTGGATTCACATTTGGAGTTTTCCAGGTAGCAATGACAACCTGGGCACCTCCTATGGGGCCATTTCTATGTCTGGAGTCACTGGCTCAGGTGTGTGAACAAACAAGTCTGAGAAAGTTACATGTTTTTATTTTTTTTTGGCAGGCAGGCTAGAAACGGTAACTTACTAATAGCTGAACCCCCCAACTAAGGAGTAGGGATGATGCACGCATATTGAGTACTTGGATGCATTTGTTTCGCGTGCGCGCGCGTTTAGGCGACGTCAGTGCAGATCCAAAGTACGGGCACAAACTCTGACATCATTGCCCGTTTTGGGAGTGTTACAAAAGCATTGAAGAAATCACTGGTAGGTGCTGGTAAGCCTTTCGTTCACTCCCATGTCGCCAAGCCAAAATCTTTTCCGGGTTGACATGAGATTCAAAATTGCTGATTTTTTCTGATCGCTTTCTTGATTTCGCCAAGGAAGAGAAGGGTCAGGCAAATCTGACCCTTTGGTTTAGTCGCCAGGCACAGGGAAACATGGGGAAAAATTGCAGAGTTTGCGTCTTGGCAATCATAGAGCAGTATGAAAATATGTAGGAAGAAATCTGATGAAATATATATTTCAAATATATATAATATATTATATAATGATACAATATAATGAAATATAATGAATATGTTTGATTCCAATTCCAGCTATGTACGCGCTACACAGGGGCACTGCATTTTGGGGAAACAAATTTGCGTACCATTTGCATTTTGCAAGGGGGTTGCTGGTCTGAGGGCAAGAGAACATGCAAGAATTATAAACAGACAAATTCGCTTGAGTATGTTTGAGTTTCACCAGGTCCATCCAAAGAAATTTGGCAAACCGAGCATGGAATGACGAAAAAACTCACAAGGTGAGTTTATGTTGTCAACGCAAGGGATGGCAACGGCATGTTTACATTCTATATCATTCTAGCTAAGAAGCATTAAGAAGCGGTGTTTGTATTTGTTTGTTATCTGGTGGTACCAAATCAAAATGGCTGAATGCGTTTTGCTGATTGGCACTCGGCATGGGTCTTTCAATTCGTCTACAGTGCGTTTTGTAACTCAAGGTGCGTACAATATCAGGCACCATTGCTGGCTGTCATCCTTCACCACCTATGAGCAAAACTTGAGCCAGAGACGCCAAGGTCATGCACAAACAGAATCTTGATTATGTTTTGCTGGATTTTGTGGGTTGGTTCAGATTGCCTTGTTCATTGCTTATTCATGTTCGTTTCCTCCATATTCCACATACTTATGCCACTTGGCAAGCTATTTGCAAAGCTTGGCTGCTTAGCTGCTGTGGCCGCTGCTTGCTTGCTGGCAGCACCAACAATAGCAAATTGATTGTCAGTCCCAGTAGCATTCAACTGCTCGCGGGTTAAACAAGCGTGAAGTTTCCGATGTTTGCGGGATGGGCACATTTGTTTGGACACTTTTGAAGTACTCAGAGAGATCTGGCTCAAAACTTTGAGTCGGGTTTGGATCCTGTGATCTTTGCATTCATCACATTTCATCACAGGGTTGAACTTTGCGAGGCCTATCATGCTGTTCCTGTCATGGTAAACCTTTAGAACAATGCTCGCATGAAGCTGCTGGGTGTCGAGCTTAGCAATTCTAGCACAGACGGCGATGAGGTTATAAGATGTTATAAGATGTTACAAGTTTGCTAAGCGCTTTTGGCAACAACGTTTGCACCTCGTGTGCTCATTTCTTCAAGCCTGTATGAGGGTGCCAGGGTCAGGGTATATCAGGACTGTCCAAAAAAGGATTTCGGAGTTCTTTGGATTCGGCATAGATGTCGCTCGGGCTGTGCGATGGCGACATACCTTTCAAGCAACGCACAAGCTCTTGGGGCCATTCGCCAATGTAGCAGCGTATAAGAATTATTAATAGCGTATAAATGCTATATATATAATTATATATATATAAATCATAAAGCTGATTAAAGTTCAATGTGTTTGCCCTGAAGCTTCCTTGTTTTTGAAGGGAAGAATGGAAGATCTGAACTGATTTTAAGTACTGTGCATTGTTGTTTGAATCTGCAGATTTTCCTTTTTGGGCATGTTGCGTCACAGAGGGTTTTCATGGTGTACAGCCCTTCTTTAACTAGACAGCTACGGTAAATTAGCAGGCAGTTGCCTCAGTCATAGTGAAGGCGCAAAGGTGCAATGTGAACCGCTGCAGCAACTGATCATTTGACCTGAAGAAATCGAGGCATGGGACAAAGCAACGTGCAGGTTGGACCTGTAGATGTCGAGCGCGGCACCAATGCATGATGCGCAAGAGATTTCCATTTGTCGATCCCTTGAAGGACCCATATGGATTTGTTCTGCATTCTGGGGTCTGGGGCCATAGGCTATACCTATCTATACCTCATTCGGACATGCCCATGTGACAGTTGAATCTGCGGAAACGTTCAGTCGACTTATGGTTGCTGCCTGGCCAGGTATTCAGCCATCCATTGCCAAAGACACAACAGCTAGTTCAAGAAGAAATGTCTGGAGGCAGACATGTCACCAGAGAGCAGACAGAACTTCCACCCAAAGCTTGAATCGAACGACATAGTGTAGCTGCTTTGTCGCCGCCATTGTAGAGTGCTTCGAAATCTTTCCAGGATTTGAAATGTCGGTAGTATTAATATTGACAAACCATGACAAACCCGTATACTGTCCATGGATGTCCATGGTGCGTATCAGTTGTTCACCTTGGAGTTGTTTCTCTACAAATGCATCTATGGTGTAGGATGATGCCGTACCAAAGTGTGGAGAGTGTCACTCAAAGAGTTTGGGTGCCCTTTTGGATGTGACAATGGCGTAAACAAGACTAGTCGCAGACACTGACTGTGTCACATCTTAAATCTGATTCCCCTTTAGATGCGAGGACTCATGTTCAAAGGGTGGCGGCGTTGTTTGTTTCTTTTGTTTGACTTTTGTTGTGTTGTTTTGGCTTTGTTGAGTACCAAAGTATATCCTCCTCATAGTAGACGCTGATACATACACATCTACATGTATACTGTATACATTATAATATTAAGGTTTGCGATTGAAAGTGGGTCTCTGGAATTTGATTTCTTTAGGTGGATCCATATGTATGCAGATTGTTTGGCAAGGAGCCATTATGTTTGAATATTATTTGAATATGTTTGACTTAACTACTTCATGTTTTCTTAATTAAGTCGCAGATAAGCTACTTTTTGGCATCTAATTCCAGGACCAAGGGAATCGGATATATATATGTATATATTAATATATATATATATATATTGATAGCATATCGTTACGTTCATACCGTAGCATGCAGTTGTATAAATGCGACGACTCCGAAGATGCACATATACACAAGGTCTTGCTTTATTTGTTTTGTCTTGGGTTTTGCACGTACATTGATACCGAGATATGGTGTTTTAATTCATGGTGTGCAACATTCTTTCCAACACCAAACCAAAGGAATTGGAAGGAATCATGAAACTCAGTGCCAAACACAACATGAGCTTAAGAGACACGATATCAATGACTAATGAAATCTTAACCGCTTATCTATTTGGATCCAACCAGCAGGGAATCCATCCAATGGCAACCATCAGGATCCATTTACGATACAAAAAAAGGGATAGGTGGCGTTGATTAATTCTGAGGATCTCCCACGGGTTGAATAGATGATTTTCCCCAAACATTTTGCATTGTGCTGAACGCGCAGAAATATAAATTAAAATATATTAAAATTGATGTCATTAGTTTGCAAATTTGATGGGTGGGCCTGTGCCGCCTGTATTGTGGGGCTGCAAGCCGGCAGCAAAAAAAAGAACAAAGTGCGTCCTGCGGTTGATAATGGGTCCTGAGATAGGCTGAAAAAAAAATCGTCCTAAATCCGGGTTGAACGACCCTGAATTAATTGAACAAAAACCATCAAAAACCTATGGATTTTGAGTTTTGGTCCTAAGTCACACTTGCGAAATGTACCCCCTGAGATAGGCTGGAAAAAAAAAAAATCGTCCCAAATCTAGGGTGTGAGGTACATTTCGTCCTAAGTCAGCCGCGCGTTTTGTACCCCCCAACATAGGCTGAACCCCACCTCAACCCCAGGATTTAGGCTGATTTTTTTTTCGTCCTAACTCGGGGGGCGCGTTTTGTGCACTGGACTTCGGCCCGAATCCCATTCAGCCCCCAGCACTGAACATATCATCAATATCAGATGTTTACCACAACTCTCTTGAGTTACATTTTATCACGCGTGAACAGGATCTCAAACTAGAAATTTATGACAACAACTTAGTGAACACTTACGATCATTCAGCGGCGTACTGTACTTTGCGCCGTCGTGGCGCATAGATCAACACATTGTACTTATATAAAGGCTTCCAAAGGTCAACAATATTTAGTTGCATTAAAACCAAATATTCATACTATTCAAATACATCATTTAACAACTTCAAATAGGAACCTTTGATGACATAACATCTACTCAAAATGATGGACCTGGAATAAACATATAGATCCATGGTACATATATATATCTCAATCGCCGCATGATACTGGGATTCTTTCAAACAAAAAATGAGGAAAGCATTCGAAAAGCAATATTTGGAAATTTAAATGGGGAATGCATTTGCAAGTGTTGGGGGTTTAAAACGTAAGGAGAGAACCAAATCCAAAACGAGGAGGGTGGAATCCTTAACGGTGGAACACATATAATAAAATCTGATGAACGAGCAAGGAAATAAAGTCTGACATGGGAAAATAATGATGAATATGAAATTGAAAACGTTCGGGGATAGTCCGGATGGATATATTACTGGAATCTATGGGACCGTTATAGTAAATATTATGCAGCGGGCGATTTTAAAAACAAATCGGACTCTAGAAGTCTTGTTCTGGGAAACCAGAACGGATCAGGATACAAATGTATCTCGCTAGCATTTAGTACGAAGGAAAACTTGGATACATATATATATATAATAAATCTTACAGTATCTAAAACCATGACTGCAAACTAGAATTCAAACCCCAAATCAAATTCAAACAGCCCTGAATCAAATACAATTCATATATATATAATTATTTATTTACTTATTTATTTAAATATATATATAGATATGTACGATTGTATACCTAGATCACATGTACAGAAAAAAGAACTCAACATCTAAATATGTACAGTCCAAGCCCAAGCTCATGAATTTCGCTTGCCAACCGGTGCATTTGGCTTTTCCAAGAGTCTTTCACTCAGAGTGTGTTACGCAGAGTGTTGAAGAGTGTCCTTGTAAGAATGTCTCACTGAAATTGTCTTACCATGAGGCTTTGCCAAGAGTGTTGCTTGGAGAGTGTCCTTGGAACAATGGTTAGTAGTAGCACCATGGTTTGTCGTTAATGCTTAACTTGATGATGACGGTGGCGTGCCATACCAAAGTGTCGAGAGTGTCACGACTCAAAGAGTTTGGGTTGGCGTAAACAAGACTAGTCACAGACACTGACTGCGCCACATGTTAAATCTGACTCCCTTTTAGATACGAGGACGCATATTCAAAGGGAGGCAGATGAGGCAGCGTTCTGTGTTTTTATGTTTGGCTTTTGTTGTGGTGTATTGGCTTTGTTGAGTACCATAGTATATCCATGTATATCCTCCTCATAGTAGACACTCATACGTACGCATATACATGTATACGTTAACTAGTTCCAAGGGACATTGACATGTTAAGGGGGGGGTTCGAGTCTACTAGGAAGGGGCTATGACGGCGACGACGACTGTGACGACGGATGACAACGTCGTTGACGGTGGCGACGACGATGAAGGTGGTGACGACGACCGTGGCGACGGCGGCGGCGGCGGTGGCGACGCCGGCGACGACGGCAAAACGTACTATAAACCTTATTCTGGAAAATCGACCTTAACAAGATCATACAAGATCTAGTTTTGGAAAAAAGGTCTAGTTTTGCACCACGACGGCGGCATGAGTCATTGTCATCGTTGCCGTCGTCATCGTCGTCGCTGTCGTCCGCATCGTCGTCACTGTCGTCGTCATCATCGTCGCCGCTGTCTTCGCGGTCGTCGCCACCGTCGTCGGGGTTGTTTTGCTCGCTCGTCACACCTAGACACGACTGACTAACAGATGTCTCTTGGAACTAGATATTGTATACATTAATTGCATATAGATATATATAGATATTGTATACGTATATCAAATGTACAGAAAAAAGAAATCAACATCTATATATGTACAGTCCAAGCCCAAGCTCGTGCATTTCGCTTGCCCAACGGTGCATTTGGTTTTTCCACGGTTTTTCACTCAGAGTGTCTTATTAAGAGTGTTGCTTGATGTTGCTTAAAGAGCGTCCTTGTATCAATGGCTAGTAGTAGCACAATGGTTAGTGGTTAATGCTTAACTTGGTGATGACGGTGACTTGTCGTACCATAGTGTGGAGAGTGTCACCCAAAGAGTTCGGGTGCCCTGTTGGATGCGACAATGGCGTAAACAAGACTAGTCACAGACACTGACTGCGTCACATGTCAAATCAGACTCCCTTTTAGATACGATCAAACGGAGGCAGCGTTGTTTGTTTTTTTGTTTAACTTTTGTTGTGGTGTATTGGCTTTGGTGAGCACCAAAGTATTTCCTCCTCGTAGCAGACACTCACACATACACGTATACATATATATATACATTATATACATGTATACCTATATTACATGTACAGTAAAGAAATCAACATTTGTATATGTACAGTCCAAGCTCGTGCATTTCGCTTGCCATACCAAAGTGTCGAGAGTGTCACGACTCAAAGAGTTTGGGTGGCGTAAACAAGACTAGTCACAGACACTGACTGCGTCACATGTCAAATCAGACTCCCTTTTAGATACGAGGAGTCATGTTCCAAGGGAGGCAGCGTTGTTTGTTGTTTTGTTTAACTTCTGTTGTGGTGTATTGGCTATGTTGCGTATAGCCGAAGGATGTTTAGAAGTCAAACTTCCGACAATATGGACAGATGAAAAGCAGGGATGGGAAGAGTCAGGGAAGAGAAGAGAAGAACAAAGAAGATCAAAGAAGAGAAATTCAGAAGAAAGAAGATCCAGGCGCGCGAAAAGATAGGAAAGTCGCGATTCACCGTGTTTTTCCAATGATTTGTGGCTCCGGAGGGTCGAAAAGTAGGCTCGCTAAAGCGGCATGTGCGGAGCCATGTGGCCAGATGAGAGATGAAAAGTTGCACGCTGCTGTGGCGCGAAGCACGTTTGCAAGTCAATGTACAAAACACGCCACGTTCAGAGCAGTTTTGGAAGTTGAGATGTTGAAAAAGCGCATGCCGTTGTGGCGCGAAGCAGATTTCGAAGTCAACATGTACAAAACACGCCACGTTCAGAGCAGTTTTGGAAGTTGAGATGTTGAAAAAGCGCATGCCGTTGTGGCGCGAAGCAGATTTCGAAGTCAACATGCACAAAACACACCACGTTCAGAGCACTTTTTGACGTTGAGATGTTCAACGAGCGCACGCGGTTGTGGCGCGAAGCACATTTCCAAGTCAAAAGTGCAAGAAGCTGACGGGTACGGAGCACTTTTCGACGTTCAGATGTCGTTTCGCGTGGCCGGCGCCAGGGATTGCGCACCTTGTCAAAATATGATTAAAACGTGAAGGATTTCTAGCATTTTCCAAAACGAAGGCAGGCGTGGGACATTTGAAGAGGATCTGGAAAGATGCAGTTTCCGTGTCAGGCGCAGTAAGAATGATTTATCATGATTTATCACATTATGAAGTTTTAGAAGTTACACCACAACTAAAACCGGTTTTGTTCAGATTGTTTGGTTTCTGTGCAACTGAAATGGAAAGATGAAGAACCAGACCCAGATAGATGCGGGTGAAATGCTTCGGTGCTGAAATGGATTGAATGGGCAGCTGGATGGGCAGATAGACAACTAGATAGATTCATAGACCGAATGACAAGTGGAAAGACAGACAGATAGACAAGGAAATGGATAGATCTCGAAAGAGGATAAACCGGAAAAAAAGGAAGAAAGATAGATAGACAGATCGACACAGACAGGCAACTTGATTGATACACGGCTGCATAGACAGATAGAGAGCCAAGCAGATAGATGGAAAGACAAATAGATGGATAGGTAGATACACAGATAATAAATAACTAGACAGACAACTAGACGGATAGGTAGATAGATAGATACATGGAGAGAGAAAGCGATAAATAGACAGATAGGCAGATAGACAGACAAATGGATGGATGGATAGATAGATAGGTAGATAGATAGTTCGACATTCCAACCACCTTTCGGTCCATCAGTTGATTCGTTCTGCCATCCGTGATTTACGACAACCAACTTCTCCTATAGGTTTCCTATTTTTGAAACTTCCGCCACCGCCTTGTGCGGTACTACTGGTATATCCTCCTCATAGTAGACACTCATGAGTACACATATACATGTATACATTAGATACATATATACGTATATCACACGTACAGTAAAGAATTCAACATCTATACATGTACAGTCCAAGCTCGTGCATTTTGCCTGCACACCGCTGCATTTGGATTTTCCAAGATTGTTTCACTCAGAGTGTGTTGCTAAGAATGTTGCTTGATGTTGCTTGAAGAGTGTCCTCGTGAGAATGTTTCACTGAAATTGTTTTACTACCATGAGGTTTTTCCAAGAGTGTCTCACCAAGAGTCTTGTTTGAAGCGTGTCCTTGCAACAATGGTTAGTGGTAGGTACCACAATGGTTAGCGGTTAATGCTTAACTTGGTGATGAAAGTGACTTGTCGTACCAAAGTGTCGAGCGTGTCACTCAAAGAGTTCGGGTGCCCTGTTGGATGCGACAATGGCGTAAACAAGACTAGTCACAGACACTGACTGTGTCACATGTTAGATCTGATTCCCTTTTAGATACGATCAAACGGAGGCAGCGTTGTTTGTTTTTTTGTTTAACTTTTGTTGCGGTGTATTGGCTTTGGTGAGCACCAAAGTATCTGCTCCTCGTAGCAGACACTCACACATACACGTATACATATATATATATACATTATATACATGTATACCTATATTACATGTACAGTAACGAAATCAACATCTGTATATGTACAGTCCAAGCTCGTGCATTTCGCTTGCCAGTGGTTTTTCCAAGAGTGTTTCACTCAGAGTGTCTTACTAAGTGTGTTGCTTGGAGAGTGTCCTTGTAAGAATGTCTCACTGAAATTGTCTTAACATAAGGTTTTTCCAAGAGTGTCTCACTAAGAGTGTCTGACTAAGAGTGTTGCTTGAAGAGTGTCCTTGTAAACATGTCTCACTGACAGTGTCTCACTGACAGTGTCTTGCCATAAAGGTAGGACAATGGTTAGTGGTTATATAATGGTTTGTGGTCTACCTGGTAGCTCATTACCTCAATAACGCCTGGTGATGACAGTCAAGCCGCGGGGGTTGGCTTTCGTCCCCCATTTCCAGGTATGTATATTTCATGGTTGAGCGACTGAATGCATCTTGTGGATAGGGTCGCACTCACATCATCGAGGATGTTCTTGCTTTGGATGGGTCAACATCAATGGAAGCTTGTGGGAAGCAATGCGCACAAGTTGATGAATCATTTCTTTCCCTACCGCCAAGACAAACAGGGCAGAAATATCTCAAAAACCTCTTGGAACTAAGCTAGGCAAGACTCCATGGACTACTCGGTTCTTGAGAGCATCCCGGAGACACGAATCTTTCTGTGCTGTCTACAGTAGAGTAGTTGACAGTGAAGACAGGAATGTTCAGAGGAAGTATACCCCTCCATGTTCGAGCTGGTCCCTTTGAGTCCAAAACGGGGCAGGTTGAATGCACTGGACTTTCAACCAATCCTCCTCTTTTATTTGCTCTCTTCTCTCTTGTCTATTCCTTCTTCTCTTGATCATCTTAATCTATTCTAAATTGCCTCTAACTCCGCTCTTCCAAATTCCTACAGTTTAGAGTGCTACACTAAAAAAGTTACAGCAGCTTAGATGGCAACCAGTGGTCTATCGGCAGCTGCTGGAAAATATTGGACGGAACGGTTGTCCATCTTTGTAAGGACACACCCTTCCCTGTAGGCCTTACTTGGAGACTACTCCAAGGTTCTCGATTTTTCTTTGAAAAACAAACGCAGAGAGACGCAGAGGAGTTTCTGATAGTTACGTTTACTTTGCTTAGAGTGCAGGACGCAATCAATAGAGCACGCAAAATGATGGAAAGGGTCACAATCCTGAATGAAAGACATCTTCCTGCAGGTACTCCGAATCTAAACAATACCTAGACACAGTCAGGGCAGCTCTAACTTTGTAGAGCACTGGAAGGTTTAGAGAGGCTTAGCTGTAAAGGTCAGACGATGAGAGGCCATCTCAGGGGCCTATGAAACATACATTTAAGCAACGGATTTTGTAGACCGTTATCATTTTTAGTATACATGTACAGATAATATCATATGTTTAATTTCAGCAAACTATATCCATCCATATCATACACACTATCAGTTGATAGTATATTACATGTTGTGACGTATATGTTATATGTGTATATACATCATTGTCTTTTGCATGTGTTTATAGCACATAACACAACATTTACATGTAAATGATGCTGATTGAATTTGATTCATTTTGAATACACATGGTGTCCGACAGTGTCCTTGTTTGGTAGAGTTCCTAACACGAAGGTATCAGATACATTTGCATCACTTCAAGTATGTGCTTTGAATCTAATGATTTGTTTGGTTTGGAACACCTCTACTCTTACCTAAGCAGTGTCTTCCACACTCTGCAGATCTCGGCAGGCAGTCAGGTGCTGACAGACCTCTTTGTGGCGCTCACAGGCGCTGTGCAGAAATGGTGATGCAGATTTTGAATGATTTGACTATTCTACTCATGTGTTGTCATGGCGACATGAATCGCAGCAAACCTGGGCTGCTCTGAGACTACTGTACACGTTGCATAATTGCATACATCAACAGTTTTGCTTTTGCAAAGAGTTGGATATATGAGAGGCTTTGGCAGGATGTGCATAACTTCATTTTTGATATTCGCAATATTTGCTCATATCAGTTGATATTAATTCGTTTAATGTTTCCTTTCTTCACCTGTCATTTTCTGTCTTTTCCTTCCGAAGCTGTCGCTGTCACTTGTCATGTGAGCTTCTTCGGGCAGTTATTCTGGCCATGGGCTTCATTCCAGCAAGCTTCCTGGTGTACCTGGTCCACGAGAAGTCCACAAATGGCAAGCGCGGGACCGAGAGAAATAGAAGTGGCAGAACTGGCAGAAGTTTTTGATTCAGATTCCATTTTGACTTTGTTGTGGAACGTTCATGTGCTAGATCTGATGTCTCTTTGCCAACATACTTAGTTCATGGAGACGATGATGCCCCCTTTCACGGAACAGAAATGTGATATCATGTCACATAATTTTTGCTGCACACCACTGTCCCTGCTTTTTGTGGGGGTCGATATGAACAAACCTCGATTCAGAAACTTCCCGCGAATTAGAAACAAAGAATCAGAAACTAAATACCGCGCGAATCAGAAACTAAAATACAGGAATCAGATACAAAACCCGGCAAACCAGATACTGAGAATCAGAAACTAAAAATTGCGAACCAGACACCAAGATCCGCGAATCAGAAACCAAACAAGCCCATGAATCAGAAACCAAAAAAAAAACGAATCTGACACCAAATCTGCCACTCACTCTGAACATTTTGTTGCATGAGATATTACCGCCAACTTATCCTCATAAGGGATCAAACCCGCCACCCCCTCTGAACAGAATGTTGAAAAGGATTATATTGCATTTATTTATTCCTCGTGAGGGATAAAATCCGCCACCCCCTCTGGCCATTATGTTGAATGAGATGATATTACCCTTAACTTATCCTCATATGGGATCAAATCCGGCACCCCCTCTGACCATTATGTTGAATGAGATATTACCTTCAAAGTATCCTCATAAGGGATCAAATCCTCCGCCCCCTCTGGCCATTGTTTTGAACAGGATATTACCTCCAACTTCTCTTTCCGGTGGAAGGAGACAAGTTGCCCATTCTGATTGGTTCATATTGGTTCAGCTGGTTTAGTTTCCGATTCTCCGGTTTTAGTTTCCGATTCACCTGCTTTAGTTTCCGATTCACCTGCTTTAGTTTACGATTCAGCTGTGGTTGCCGATTCCGGGGTGTTGGTTTACGATTCACGGTTCTTAGTTTTCGATTCACGGGTTTTAGTTTCCGATTCTTTTGGTTTCCGATCAACAGGTTTTAGTTTCCGATTATATAACCGGTTTTGGTTTCCGATTCACGGGTTTTAGTTTCCGATTAACGGGTTTTAGTTTCCGATTAACGGGTTTTAGTTTCCGATTAATAGCTTGACCGTCGATATTCCCAGAGCCAGCTAGATTGCTTTACAATGACAGCTGAATATGAGCGGATGAACAGACGGACGGATGGATGAGATTCACCGTTGGAAGGCGATTTTCATGAAAGATATTTTATCGCATTAGGAGTATGTGACAGCAGCTGTGAAAGGAATTGTGAATGGAGTTGCAAGGAGCTTTCAACGAGCTTTAAAATGCATCTTATCAAGGAAAGAAGTTCCACTCAAGAAACAGGCTGTAAAGGAGTATTTACTCCATGTGACCCCGACTTCCCACGGAAATATACCACCAACAAAACCACCGGGGCCACCAACGTCACCAAAGCTTGCATCCTCTAAAGCTGGCGGACCTCATCCCACTTGCAAGCAGCAACCGAATTCAATTTAATCTATTTTAATCTTTCCCCCAACTTAAATTCTTGTCGTGAACCCAGTGACAACTTCATACACTTGGTGGCAAGTCTGATGACACCAGCAGCAATGGCGTGATAGCGGCGTTGCCAATCCGATGGTACTGTTGTGGGAAGTCACAAGATGCTCTGAAAAGTACAGAGGACATAGACAGTGTTTGCAAAACGCACCATTGTTTTGCTAGATGACCATAGCAGCAAGGATTTACGTGCGATTGGAGTTGCTTTGCTTTTGATTCGTTACCATCATGCTTCTCGGCTTTTCTGGCAAGGCACCAGCAATTGCTGACTGGCCTGGTACCCACATGAGGACATTGCGTTTTTTCCGGATGGAGACGAACAACAGACGCAGACCGACGGGACTGATAGGCTGAGAAGCCTTTTGAGCAACTGAAGCCAAATTTGTGTGAGAGCGTGCCTGAGAAACACTCAGCTGAATCGTCGTGGGATACCTGATGCCCTTGCGTTTCTTCGTTTTTGCCTTTTACCATCAAACAGTATCCATGAGGCATTTCCCCGCTCCTTTACTGGTTTGCCAACTATTGCTTGACGCTGAGATCATGATATTGTCATGTTGTTGTATCATGTGAGATGTTGCAACAGCTGGCACACGCACTTGTGCTGCTTTCCATAGCACCGTTTGAATCGAAGAGAGCAGATTTATGAATTTTACGTGTTGACCCTTCCCTTAGGTCCTAACTGTTAGCCCAGTGAAGATTTGAGGTTGGGATATCGTCAACTTCTTGCTCCCTTTGCTGCTTTGCGTGTTCATTTTCCTAGCATTCCAGGCGCAGTGGTTGCCCAGATTTTAGCGTCGGTTGCGCTTGGCCACTTGCTTTGCTCTATATAATTGAATATAATTGACATATATTGTGACAGTACTTTACATATTACGAAAGCCAGCCGAAGGCTTAGGCTGGAGGGTCTGTAATAAGGCGAAGCTGTGGCGAAGCTAATCTATGGGGTGTGGGGGGGGGGGGGGTGGGGCGGGCGAAAAGTACGAGTTTTTAAGGCTGAGGCTGGCTGGGGGGGGGGGGGAATGGGTTCGTGGGGTTGGTGCGAATGCCTTGTTTTCGTGGATTGCCTTTTTCCGCAAAACGGCGGGCCAAGGTGGATTTTTGCCGTTTTTTTGGTGCGTACCAAGAGCTACATACTGAAATTTACAGTGTTTGCGTGTCTTAGGCATGGAAAATGTATATCTTTCAATGTGCTGAAAAGATTTGAAAACTGCGTAAATACCGGTGTCTTTGCAAGGCGCTGGCCAAAAAACATTGTATATAAAATATTGCAAATACTAAATACGTGCGCCGCAATTTTTGATACCAGAGGCACAAAACATTACAAATACCATGGTTTTGTGCTTCCGAGGCGCCAAAAACACTGGTATTTTAAGGTGTTCGAGACGTCGGCTGCAGTATCTGGGCTGCCTCCTCGTCTACGTTCGAGACGTCGGCTGCAGCGGGCCGACTTCCATGGCTGTGGGTCGTCGGTACGAAATGCCTAGCGATCAGAAAACAAACGAAAAAAAAATATAAAGAGATCAAAAAAGAAATATTCAAAAGTGACAAAAAAAGACGCCCAAAGAGTATCCCCAACAGCCAGAAAAAAAAACAGTTGCCAAACACGCAGTGAGTGAAGTATGTTTTTTGCCCCGCCCTTCTTACTCTAGAGGTCGGGCGTGCAAGGCGCAATCACAGCACAAAAACTTTATGAAAAACCGTTTTTCCAAAAGCGTTTGCAATACTGTGGCCAATATTCCCGAAGAACTGCTGTCCGCCTCACTCTTCACTTCATCTACCTAACATACATCATCCACATCGCTTTTGTTCTTTACATCACCTACATCTTCTATACCATCTTCTACACCATCTAGATCTAGATCTATATCTACATCTACACCATCATCATCATCATCATCATATCCATCATCATTATCATCATCATCACCATCACCATCACCTACATCTGTCTCACCTACATTATCTACACCACCTACACATGTTTCCATCAACCTCATCTACAACGCATACATGACCTACATCATCATCATCTATATCACTGCATCCTCTACATCACCTACATCTTCAAATCTACCTAACCTTACATCACTTACAACATCATCCTCATCACCTACAACATAGACAACATCACCTACATCAGCTACAGGTGATCAACTTCTAGGGAACTCCTACAAAACTTGAAAAATGTCATTTACACAGGGATTTGCAGGTGATCCACTTCTACTTGAACTCCTACAAGACTCCTGCCTGCAAGGTCATTTGCACAGAAATTGTTACACAGGAGTTGCTACACAGGAGTTCAGCCAACTTCCAGGTGATCAAATTGTATCTGAACTCCTGCAAAATCAGACTTCTCCAGTTCTTCTATTTCTCTCTGGCGGCAGGGACAGCCAGGCGGTGGCTTACGAAACGTTACCCTCTGCGGCGTGTCGGACACCCAAACGTATGGCGAAATGCGGGTCTTGCTTGTCCTTGGGCAACCCTTTGCGGAGATAGCGCGTGTCGGATGGGCGAACATGTGCCCTAAGTCTCTTTTTCTTTTAGTTTTTGGCTAAATTTACTTAAATTGCAAAATTTACTATACAAAACTAGTAAATTGTCAACTAAAGTAAATGTTTGGCAACCAAAGAAAATGCATGCATTTTTCCTAAAAATGCATGTCTTTTGTTCTTTGGTTATCTTGTTGTGATTGAGGAAAGCACAGCAAGCAAAGCAAGTAATTTCCAAAATGAACATGAAAGACTTGGGACTTGTGCACAAAAAGATTCATCCACAAGTTATAAATAGTGCTGCTAAGCTGTTGTTCAATACATATATTTACTATTTACTTTACTATTTACTAGGAAATTTACCTAAATTTCGTCTACTAAACCACGAAATTTAAGTAAATTTTAAGTCTACTAAATTTAATAGAAAAAGAGTCTTAGGGTGGTGTGGTGAAATGCGAAACTTCTTTGCCCGCAGCAACCGTCTGCGGAGATCGCGCGTTTCGAATGCCCAAACATGTGGTGGAATGTGAATTTCTTTTGGGCACGGGCAGCCCGCTGCAGAGATCGCGCAGGTCGGACATCCAAACATGTGCCCCTTCGCACGAAATGATGGTCAACCGTCAAAAACTAGTGTAAAATTGTGTTTTGAAAGTTCAGATGCAAGCGTGGCATGAAAGTCAAACGGCAATAACTGTGGGAAAACTGCGATTTTTTAACGTCAGATGCAAACGTTCAAGAACTGGTTTAAAATTGCGACTTTATCCATTTTGAAGCGTCAGGCACAACCGTTTCGCGCGAAATAAAACTTGTGTAAAATTGCGATTTTACACGGTCAGGCACAACCCTTTCACACAAAATTATTGTCCAATGTCAAAAATTGCGATTTTCCAACGCCGGATGCAACCCTTTCGCACGATATGATGGCCGAACGTCCAAAACTTACGTAAAATTGCGATTTTTTGAAGTGTGTTAAAGCTGCTCTGTGGAATCGGCTTTTCTGTGGGAAAGTGTCTGTGTGTAAAGGCTTCTCTGTGTAAAAGCTTCTGTCCGTAAAAAGCCTCCGTGCGTACAAGCTTCTGCGTGTAAAGGCGTCTGTGTGTAAAAGCTCCTGTGCGTAAAAGCTTCTCTGCGTAAAAGTTTCTGTGAAAAAGCTTGCGTGTGTAAAAGCTTCTGTGTGTAAAAGATTCTCTGTGTAAAGGCTTCTCTGTGTCAAAGCTTCTGTGATTGTCTGAAAAACCATCTGTGTCAAAAAGTTTCTGCGTGTATAGGCGTGAATATGTCAAACGTCTCTGGGTAAATGCTTCTGTGTGTAAAGGCATCTGTTGTCAAAAGCTTCTGCATGTAGAAGCATCTGCCGCATCTGTGTGAAGAACTTTTGTGTAAATGCCTCTATGTGTAAAGACCTGTCTGTGTAAAAGCTTGGGCATTTGCCTGTTTAAAGTTTCTGCGCGTATAAGGTGTATAAGCTGCTCTGTGCAAAGGCCTCTCTCTGTGTAAAAGCTTCGGTGTGTAAAAGCTGCTCTGTGTAAAGGCCTCTACCTTCGGTCTGTAAGCTCTGTGAACAAGCTTCTATGCGTAAAAGCGTCTGTGTGTAAAGGCGTGTGTGTAAAGCTTTTGTGCGTGTAAATGCTTCTGTGTATAAAAGATGCTCTGTGTGGAGGCTTTTCTGTGTAAAAGCTTCTCTGTGTAAAGCTTCCGTGTGAAAACCTCTGTGCGTAAAAGCTTTTGTGTGTAAAGGCCTCTATGTGTAAAAACGTTTGTGTAGAAAAGCTTCTTTGCGTAAAGGCGTCTGTGTGCAAAATTGTGCAAAAGCCGCACTGCGTAAAAGTTGCTCTGTGTAACGGCTTCTCTGTGTAAAAGCGTCTGTGCGTCAAAGCTGCTGTGTGTACAGGCATCTGTGCGTGTGTGTGTGTATGCAAAGGCGTCCGTGTGTAAAAGCTGCTGTGTGTACAAGCTTCTCTGTGTAAAGGCCTCTCTGCGTCAAAGCTTCGGCGTGTAAAAGCTGTTCCGCGTAAATGCTGCTCTGTGAAAACAAACCTGAGTGTAAAAGCTGGTCCGCGCAAAGGCTTCTCTGTGCGCAAGCTGCTGTATGTAAAACCGTTGTGCGCAAAGTTCCTTCCCGGAACAACTGGGAACCCTTGCTTGCGAACCTCTTCCTGGGAACCTTGCTTGAGAACCTCTTCCTAGCAACCTTGCTTGAGAAGCTGTTCCTGGGAACCTTGCTTGGGAACCTTTTCCTGGAAACATTGCCTGGGAACTTTTTCCGGGAACCTTACTTGTGAACCTGTTCTTGGGAAACTTGTTTGGGAACCTGTTCCTGGGAACCTGTTGCTGGGAACCTTGACCCGTGCTTGAGAACCTCTTGCTGGGAACCCTTGCTTGGGAACCTCTTCCTCGGAACCTTGCTTGGAACCTCTTGGGGGGGGTATTGTTGCTGGGAACATTTGCTTGGGAATCTGTTCCTGGGAACCTTGCTTTGGGGGAATGTCTTGGGAACCTCTTGGGAACCTGTTCCTGGGAACCTGGGAACCCTTGCTTGGGATTAGGATTCTCTTGGAAAAGGAGACCCCTTCCAACAAAAAGCATATGTTTTGAGCCCGGGTCATAAATTCAGCGTGTTGAATTCATTTCACAATAGCACCCTGTTGCTTCAAACATCATCAGTAGTTTCAAAGTTTTCTGCACAGGCATGCACGAAATTGACGAGATAGATACTCAAGGGGGTGTTCCCATATTGGAACATGTTGAATTCAGAATTGTTGGCAATCCCAACGCAGAATTTGTTTAACGGTTTTCACAAAAGCACCCTGTTGCTTCAAACATCATCAGTAGTTTCAAAGTTTTCTGCACAGGCATGCACGAAATTGACAAGATAGAATATTCAAGGGGGTGTACCCATATTGGAACATGTTGGATTCAGTATTGTTGGCAATCCCAACGCAGAATTTGTTTAACGTCATTTCACACTAGCACCCTGTTGCTTCAAACATCATCAGTCAGTAGTTTCAAAGTTTTCCGCACAGACATGCACGAAATTGGCGAGATAGAATATTCAAGGGGGTGTTCCCATATTGGAACATGTTGAATTCAGAATTGTTGGCAATCCCAACGCAGAATTTGTTTAACGTCATTTCACAAAAGCACCCTGTTGCTTCAAACATCATCAGTAGTTTCAAAGTTTTCTGCACAGGCATGCACGAAATTGACAAGATAGAATATTCAAGGGGGTGTTCTGTGAATATTTGTGAATATTCTATATTTTTATTCTATCTTGTGGTGTTTTTCGGAGTGGGAGGCCGGTGGTAATTTTCTCACTCGCGTGTCTGGTAATGAAAAATA